GGAAGAAGAGGGGGGTGAGCAGGGAGCCGGGGGTGGGTGTGTATGGAAAGGGGACGGGACAGGGCAGTCCCCTGCTTCACAGCACGGCAGGTGAGGTGCGGGGGTCCCACAGCTATCCCACACGGTGCAGAGGGTGACGACTCGAGACCAGGGGGAAGCCTGGCAGGGCAACCTACGGGCTCTGGGTTGGGTTGGTGAGCCCAGGGTGGGAACTGCATCCTCGAAAAGTGGCGTCCACCTCTACCTTCCACCCAGCAAAAGGTCCTCTGCTTTCTGGGCTAAAAGCTGCGGAGAGCTGCAGCTCAGACCTGGGTCGGGAGGCCTTGAACAGGCCGCTGCTGCTGCTCTTGCTGAGCAGCGAGACGGCCGTAGGGCTGCTGTCCCACTGACAGGGGACAGAAGCCCAGGGGAGAGGGGGGAGGCTGGGGCTGGGGACCAGCAGGAGGAAGGGAGCGTGGTACAGGTGTGCAGTGGGGAAGCAAGGGGGTGCACACGCATCGGGCTCAAAATGGCAGCGATTGGGTTTAGGGACGCAAACCCCCTGCCCCAGAGCCGTCTGGCTGACGCTTCGTCTCTTCCAGGTTGCAAGAGGGGCCTGAGCGCAACCCCCCTGCCCTTTCCCCATCCCGTTCCCCATTCCCAAAATACTGCCCGTTGATAAGGGGGAGGGGTTTGCAGCACTGTGGGAACTCCACATCGTGCTTTATTAACAGGCTGAGCTCAGGGCCCTGCAGAGATGGAAAATTAAATAAAACCGGCACACAGCTACACTACCAGCTGCTCTCACAAGGTCCAGCGGCAGCTCGTGGAAAACACATCTCTCCCCTGCCCTCTGCAAAGCCCTGCAACCCTGGAGCAACTGCTGTATTCTTCCGCAGTTGCTCTGGTCCGGGTCAGACACGTTATTGCCCTGCAGCTCACTCCCTGACTGCCGAAGGGCAGGTACCGTTTTCGGAGCAGCTCTTTGCTGACGTGCCCCCGTGCTCCAAAGCAATCCCGAGAGATGCCCAGGACCCACCTGTTCCCGCTCGAGTGCTAAACTGCTGCCCCAGCACAGCTTGGAGGAACAAATCCAGAGATCCCAGCCTGCTGTGTGTTCTCCGCTGTGTGAAAATTGCAGCTGACGGAGGAAAATTACAGCTTTCCGTCACCTGCTCTGCCCCTGGCCTCAGCCCCCAGCAGACGCAGACCCTCTTGCCAAGCTGCTGGCCTCTGCTGCCTTGGCCTGCCTGCTGCCCCATGGCCCCTCTGGGGTGGGGTGCAGCTCCCGGGCCAGGTTTGGGAGTGGCTGCAGCGACGGGCAAAGCCTTAGAGCTGGCCCTGGTGACCAAGCAAGCGTCACACCCAAAACCCGAGAGCGGGAAGGGGAGAAAGGAGCGCCGGAGCTTCGGCTGGCCCATGTCCTCTTTCCCAAACCAGCTGCTGGTGGCACAGGTTGTCGAGGGCTCGGGAACCCCCCTGCCTCGGTGGGGAACGACGGCAGGCAGATCTACCAGACCCACAGGAGAGGTGGAAGAAGCAGGAGACCTCGGGCGTGCCGGCAGCCGTCGGCAGGAGAGAGCAGGAGCCGTGGTGCTTCAGCACACTGAGGCTTCAGGGAAGGCACAGCAAGGCACGACGCGGACGGGCTGCTGTTCCCAGATGAGAAAACAAGAGCCGGACAAATCTCCGCTGCACGCAGGACACCTTTAATGACACGAAAGCTGGTTGCCGGGCCATGGTGCCTTGAGGACCGGTCCTGCTTTCGGCAGCACGCTCCTCACGCCTTCGCCCCGGCACAGGCACTTGGTCGCGGGCAGGGATGGTGCCGGAGGCGGTGTCTGCTGGCCCCTCAAGGCAGTGCCCCGTGTTTCCGTCCTACCTCGGTGAAGGCTTCCACACAGCGGTCGATGTCCTCGTCGCTGTGCACGGCCGAGATCTGGACCCGGATGCGGGCCTTTCCCTTGGGAACCACCGGGTAGCTGAAGCCAATGACATAAATGCCTGCAGGGGAAAGGCACGGAGGCAGAGTTGGCTGGGAGGGAGGGAGGCTGAGGTGGCAGTGGGTGACAGAAAGGCTTTTGGATCCTCCCTCCACTCTCAACAACCATCTCCAGGCTTCAGGGTTTTCAAGCTCCCAAGCATGGAAATGAGGGTTAGGGCCAGTGGTGGGGATGGAGTCCACAATGGCAGGACAAGAGGGCTAATGTGAACTGCCCCCGAAACTGAACATCTGAACAGCAACATCTGGGGGGACCACAAGGACATCTGCAGCCAGAAGATACAGAAATCACAGATTTCATGCAGGAACATGCTCTGGAGGAGGGATGGTGGTGGCACCACCACTGGCTGTCCCTTCCCTCGAGGCACGTGTCTGCACCCAGAGCTCCGTCCCCGGTTCACCTCTGTTCAGCATGTCCTCAGCCATCACTGCAGCCAGCCGAGCGTCCCCCAGCATGACAGGACAGATAGGGTGGTCTTTCCCCGAGATGGTGAAGCCGGCTGCCGTCATCTTGCTTCTGAACCTGGTGAAGAGAACGAGAGGATGAGTAAAACCTCACCACCCCTGTCTTTGGGGACTGCTGCCTTGCTTTCCCCCAGGCACCCCGGCTACCCAGGGTGGGCTATGGTTTTGCTCCACTGTGCATCTCCTGTGCAGGGAAGGGATCTCTCTTTCTGGAGGGACCTCCTGCCATTTCCTGCTCCATGGGACTGCAGCTGCTTGGGGGGCAGGTAGGTCTCAGCACGCAGAGCATCCAGATGTGACACATCTGCCTGCACACAGGCACACCCTGCGGTTTCCCCTGAGCACCTCCCCAGCCATGACTTGCAAGTTGCCTTCAAGGCTATCACGGGGGGAGTGAATAAGCCCACGTGGACAACTGAGCCCTAACGAAGCTCTCCCCCTGTTCCCACCCCAACACGGCCCCCTCACCGTTGGGTCTTGGCAGCCATGGACTGCGCGATGGCATTGCTCTCCATGAGGAGGTCCAGGGCCTTGGACGCGCAGCCCACCACAGCCGGGGGCAGGCTGTTGGAGAAGAGGTACGGGCGGGAGCGCTGGCGGAGCAAATCGATGAGGGGTTTGGGGCCAGTTGTGTACCCGCCTACAGAGGGAGGAAAGAGAAACAGACAAGGCACCCCAGGGTGACCTGTTCAGAGGGGCTCCCCTCAATAAAGCCAACTAGGCTTAAAAAAAACAAAAATCACAGCTGATGCCTTTTACCAAGAGTGTCCACCCTGACCCCAAAGACAAATGCATGGGGAAGATGACAGTGGAAGGAGCACATGGCAGGACCTCCCTTCACACTGCAGCAGGGTCCCAAACCAAGCCTTATGCCACCAGTAACAGAGGGCAACGTGCATTTGTTGCTCTATCATTGGGCAGAGGAAGGAAACCTCAAAGCGATGCCGTGGAGCTCTTTAGGGCATGGAGGGCCTTGGACAGGAAGATGCCTTCACCTGCAGCTCCTCCAAGAGCTTTTCCCAGGGTGGAGTTGATGATGGTGACTTTGTCCATCACTCCCAGGAGTTCATCAGTACCCCTGCAGAAAAAGGAATGTCACAGTATCAGCTGTGCCAGCACATACCAGGGAAGCTGCTCTACACCTGATGCCTCCAGGCAAAGAAAGCGCCACCAGCCAAGTCTCTGGTGTCCCCCCCTCTGCTAAAGGAAGAAAATCCCCCTGTGGTAGCTCAACCCAAGTGTTGACCTCCCCTTCTCCTGCAGAAAGGCTAAGCTGGGATCCTCCCAAGGCAAGAGCATGGGTTCTTCATCCCTTGCAGACGGGAGAGCGCTCAAAATTCCTGCACAGAAGTTTAACAGTTGAAACAGAGCACTAGCCGTCGATGTAGGTCTTGCACACGCCTCTGGCATGCCACACCACTAGCATACACCAGGGACAGAAAGACAGTTGCCTGGCTAGAGTAGCTGATGTCCTCCAAGGTGGGCTGTGCACGTCACTGGTGTGCTGCCCCAAATGCACCCAGGCCTAAGGCACCCGTGTCAAGGTCTACGCTAGTGGAACTAACTGGACGCGACAAACATGCTCTGCAGCTTCGCGTACCCCAGCACAGAAAGGCAGGATGGCGGACGGCCACCCAGCTTCTCTGCTGGCTCTCTTGAGAGACAATGTCGTAGACAGCAGCATCAGGTTCATGCTGAAACTACTATAACTCACGAAGCACTAGGCAACCATTCTCTCTTCCTCAAGCTGCTGTGCACTTACATACCTCAGAGCAGTCAAACAGTGGTTTTGGCAGCTGCTGGGACCAGAGAGCCCACTGGGACAGAGTGACAAGGTCTAGCTCAACCCATAGGATGGCTACCGTGCCCCAAGGAAGGGGGGGCTTAGCCCACATCAAGCTGTGAAATGGGTGAGAAGCGGGGACTTGCCAGCTTCCCACATGAGATCTGTCTAGAGAGGAGAGAGCTGGAAGGGAGCTTTCATAGAGCAACTTTTGGCTTTTCATTTCCTGCACTATTCCTCCATCTGAGGAGGGACCCATTGCTCGTTCCTACAGGCGTTGCCTCAAGCAGGTCTCTCCCTTCAAGCAGAGAGCAGGAGGGACCATGCAATGGAGCGCTTGGCACTCGTGCCTGAACAAGACAAGCACCTGAATTGTTTGTTCTCAGAAAACACCTGCAGCAAGCGCACTGCTTAGCACCTGAAGGATCTCCAGGGGATGGAGGAAAAAGCTGCCCCGAGGGAATTGTGAAACGGTGCAAGCTAACTCCACAGAACCCCCAAGTCCCAAGCATTTGAAAGTGATAGCTGAGAGGGGAAGGATTCGGAAATCAGGAAGTCCAACTGCTTGCCAGGAGAGGCAGATGAGATGGTCATACCATCCCTTGCACACGGAGAAGTGGCTGTCGTGTTGGGGTGGGTCAGTGCCAAAGTCTCTTCCTTCAGTCCCCTCAGGTGCCCCAAAAGGGATACGTCATCAGGAGGGGAGGGCCGAGGCAGAGGTGGGCTGCGAAGCCTTCAAGAAGCGGTGGCTCCAGGAGTCCTCACACAAAAACACACTGGCCATTGCCACCTTTGGCCTCGTCTCAGAGGTAATTGGGCCTGGGGGAAGGGAAAAACAAGGGTAAAAAGAGCCCCTTACCGGCCATTGGGTCCCAGGAAGCCTGTGGCATGGCATTCGTCAATGAAGACCAGGGCATCGTACTTCTGGGCCAGCTGGCAGATCTCCCTCAGGGGTGCGATGTCACCATCCATGGAGAAGGCACCGTCGGTGGCCACCAGCCGCAGACGATGTTTCTGTGGGAGGGAGAACGGCATCCCCAGGAGTGAAGATGTCACCCTGAGGAGAGGGGCTGGCGAAGGAGACCGGGACATAGTCCAACTTGGGTAGGGAGTGGATATATCGAATCAAGATGGGGTGTTTTGATGGCAACAAGCTGCTTCCCCACCTTGCCTGTCCACATCTGCCTGTGCCTATTGGCAAAAACCATGCCTATGGCACAGGAAAAGGCAGAACTTGCCCTTCGGGGCTCGTTATGGTGCAGGCACCACAGCTAAGCGAGCACCCCTGCGTTGGGGTGGAAGCAGACCTCTGTACCTGCGCGTCCTGCAGCTTGGCCTCCAGATCCTGCATGTCCATGTGCTTGTAGCGGTACTTGTTGGCCTTGCACAGGCGGATCCCGTCGATGATGGAGGCATGGTTCAGCTCATCCGACAGCACCGCGTCCTCCGGAGTCAGCAGGGCCTGGCCGTGCCAAACAGAAAGGATCATCCTTCGCTCCGGGGCACCGCCTCACTGAGATCCTCCAGCCTCTCTCAGTGCAGAAGATGAGGCTGAGTTTGATCGCAGCTACCACGTCTCTCCCAGCACCGCTAAACTTTCCACTTTCCTTCCCACCCACCTTATCCCCTGATTTCTTCAGGCCAGGCTCTTGCCTTTGCCTTCTGAGCTCAGAACCTCCCTCCCCTTCCCTAGCAAGCCTGGGGGATCACCGCCTCCCCCTGCCTACACTTCGAGGGGGAGTACAGAGCTCCCAGGAAACGGGAGCCCTCCCCCAAAACTGGAGCTGGCTGGGGCAGGGGGGGG